CACATTATAACGCCCCCACGGCTGAAAGGGCGAGCATGTTTGGTGTGACGGGGATTCGAACCCGCAGATTGCGAGTCGAGTACCCTAACCACCTGGCCATGCCGGGCCGTTACAGAAGAAGAGGTATTTATTGAGTTATTTCACTTTCTCTACTCTTATATTCCACGTTTTTATGTCATTCGAAACTAATGCAAATATTTGAGTGACATTATAAAGATTTTTACACTAGTTTTGCTACATGTAGCTTATTCGTGGATTTACAAGTGGATCAATCATCGATTGTATGTCGATCACGAAATAAAATATAATCATTTTAATACAATTTTTATTAAACAAAAGAACTGATAATATTATGCCTAGCTAAAAGATAAGTTCATTCTCGTTAATACGTGTACACTTTTTACTTGACTGACTTTAATGCATTGCATTTCACAAACCGGTTGATGTGCTATGTGCAATAAACTAACCACTATAAATAATTTTCAAACATGAAACCTAATCTAAGTTCAAAAATTTGTTGCTGACGTACCTCCTAGTTGTAGGAAACAGGAAATGTTGACTCGGGGATAAATTTCTTGGACTCTCTACTGGGCCATCTACAGGCAAATAAAGAAAAAATATTATATTTTTACAGCATAATATGATATTAATAGTGATAAATGCCGTATTTTAAATACAATTATAAAACAAAGTAATAACTAAAAAAAATCCGATGAGCAGTATGGTAAATTTAAGGAAACATTTTCCATATATTGCATAGCAATTATTGTTCCTAAGTACGGAATATTTTTACAAACATAATGTAGTTTTACCACTTCATTACAAATATCTCATATTGAGAATACATAAATATACTAACACACATAAATGTATAAAACTGGAGATCTCGTTTAACAACTTCTGCTTGGAACAATAATTTCGTCAGTTATATACACTGTCTCTACTGCATATTACGTACCACAATGGCAACCAATGCCCTCTTCAGGGAGAAATTATTATCACAAGTAATAATCACTTCCAGCACTATTTTATGTGTTAGACCTTGAAAAAATTCTGAAATCTAACGCAATATATCCATTAACACACTAGACACACTTATTAGATTTGTTTTGTGTTTTTATTTTGATAACCAGCTTAGAATGCCTGCACTGATGTAGATAAATACGTTTTACCAGAAATCTACGTTATATGAATCAACGTTACGTTATATGAATCATGTTCTTCTCCACCGATTCGCTTTGTCTACTCATTATACACAATTATCATAAATTCGTTCGAGAGTATTCGTGTAATTTTAAATAATAAAAAAACACCTTCCACGAAGAACTCAAATGTCTTGCGTTACAGTTTGGCCCGGCATGGCCAGGTGGATAAGGTGCTCGACTTACAATCTGAGGGTCGCGGGTTCGAATCCGCATACCACCAAACATGCTCGCCCTTTCAGCATGTTATAATGTTATAG